AGCTAGCAGTATATTTTCTTATTCCAAGGTTGCTCTTTCCATCACATCATATAAACTGTATTTAAAGATTAAGGTGGTATTTAAGATCTTAAACTGATTCCTAGTGGAGCTACGGGCAGCAACAAGTCTCATTTGCATGTAGATTCCTGGTGAAAATGAACCTAGGGATCCAACATTATAGCTTGAAACAGTGTGACAAATGATAGAATAACTGGAACTTGCTGTATTTTAGAGGTGCTAGGAGAAATAAAGTGTGATCCAGACTACTTATGCTTATACAAGTGGTTCTCCTGGGCATTTTTATGACATATTTGCCGCAAAAAAGTGGTTCCCATTTCCTTCTAATTTTTGGAGACCTCTGGAGAGACAAACCTTTAAAGACCAATTAGGCAACAAATACTCAGTTGAGCTCCCACCACTCAATATGCAATATTTTAAGTCATCCAAAAGGTCAGAAATAGGTAAGTAAATCTATTATTAAATCAAATATGAAAATGCAGGTTGTTGTTTTTTATTTAAGGATTCAGTCATCTATAGATCTGCAGCCCTTTCTCTGTGTTATTGGACTAAAAAGAAGTGAACTTCAGTCACAGGATGCTGGTGTATTGAGTCCATCTCAATTGATTCCCATAACAATAACAATAAGGACAACAATAACAACAATTATTTCTATCCCACTTTATCACTCTAAAAAGGGACCCAAAGCGGCTAACACTAAAACTAATACAAAATACAGACATTAAAATAGGATTAAATATTGGAAGTATTATAAATAAACAATTAAAACAAACCTATTCATGTACCTAACACAATTCACAGCATCCACTGACCAATAAAAGGAAGCTGCAAAGTGTCTTCAAGCCAGGTTCTGTCTTCAACATAATCACTTTCACAACACTTCCAGGCATAGCAATCTGATTGCCTGTGCAGAGAAACCGGTTCCTCCCAAACCAGTTCCAATATGGTTTATAGAGTCAGTGTAGAAGTGCCCTTAAAGTACAGTCTCAACTAGTCCAGCTGGCCAAGGGACAACTAAGATGGCATTAGACTACTTGAAACTGTCCTGAATCTAAAATCCACTCAACCTAAGGATGTGGAAAGTTTCTTTGTACCATCTTCACTCTGGACTAACCGAGTGCGTCCCTGGGCTGGAAGAGTTTTGGGTCATGCATCACTCAGCTCATCCTTCACACCACCTCTTCTCTGCCTTTTTCTAGCACTTCCTCGGCTACATCTTAGTCAACTGAATAGTTCTGCTGGGAAATCTCTGAGTTCCACTAGCAGAAGATATTTTCTAATCTTGACTTGGGATATCTATTTGCAGAGAAAAAGGAGAGAACACAACTTCATTGTCATCACTCAATTTAGAATCCCCACATTATCCCCCCCTCCATATATAGATATATATATATATATAGAGAGAGAGAGAGAGAGAGAGAGAGAGAGAGAGAGAGATCAAAGGTTTTCCCCTGATATTAAGTCCGGCCGTGTCTGACTCTGGGGGTCGGTGCTCATTGCCATTTCTAAGCCGAAGAGCCGACGTTGTCCGTAGACACCTTCAAGGTCATGTGGCCAGCATGACTGCATGGAGGGCCATCACCTTCCCGCCGGAGCAATACCTATTGATCTACTCACATTTGCATGTTTTTGAACTGCTAGGTTGGCAAAAGCTGGGGTTTAGAGCAGGAGCTCATGCCACTCCCCGGCTTCGAACTCGAGACCTTTTGGTCAGCAAGTTCAGCAGCTCAACGCTTTAACCCACTGTGCAACCGGGGGCTCCATAGATAGATAGATAGATAGATAGATAGATAGATAGATAGATAGATAGATAGATAGATAAACAGAGTAGAAAATATATATATATTCTGCTCTGTTTATCTATTCCTAGGTTAAGTGGACTGACCTTTTCAAGGGGTTCATCTATACTATAGAATTGATGTACTTTGGCACCACACTAACCGCCGTGGCTCAATGCTATGGATTCCCGAGAGTTGTAGTTTATAAGGCACCAGTCCTCTTTGAGAGAGAAGGCTAAAGACACTATAAAATTACAATTCTCATGAGACCATAGCACTGAGCCATGTGTGGTGTCGAACTGCATTATTTCTACAGTGTAGGTAAAGGTACCAGTTCCCCTGGCAATAAGTCTAGTTGTGTCTAATTCTGGGGGAAGGGTGGTGGTGGTGGTGGTGCTCATCTCCATTTCTAAGCTGGAGAGCTGGCGTTGTCCGTAGACATCTCCAAGGTCATTGGGCCACCATGACTGCATGGAGCATCATTATGTTCCCGCAGAGGCAGTACCTATTGATCCACTCACATTTGCGTGTTTTCAAACTGTTAGGTTGGCAGAAGCTTGGCCTAATGGTGGAAGCTCACCCTGCTCTCTGGATTCGAACCGCCAACCTTTTCGTCAGCAAGTTCAACAGCTCAGCGGTTTAACCCACTGTGCCACCAAGGGAGCCCTTTTCTACAGTGTAGATGTACCCTAAGTCTTTCTGTAGCTTCCATTTACAACTACTTGTTGTACTAACAAGGATAAATATAGAATGGGGAAAACAAACAGAACTGGGAAATTTCTTTTAGAAACATAATACGTATCGAATGCTATATATATATATATATATATATATATATAGTACACTTACTTTAAAAATTAGACTTTAAAACATTAAAAGAATTAATGTTTTCTGCTTAAAATTTGTTGATTTTTTTTAAAGGAAGGGAAAAACATGCAGACAAAAATATTTGTTTTCGTCTGTATATTTTATTATCCCTGAATAAAGTTTAGTTAACTTGTTTTTCTTTTGAAAAGAACAATTCCAATCATTCTAATTCTCCTTCATGTGCGGGTCCATTACTGAACTCTCTTTACACTCAGCAAACATTTCTGGAACAATTAAAATTCCTGTTTTTATTAACTGCCTTCAAATGCTAAGTGGTTTTTATTTGCATGACAGTGTCTCCGAACAGAATTATTTCATGAGGTTTTCTGCAACAACAAGGGAACTTGAAAGCATTAAATACCGCAGCAAGGGTGGGCTATATGAGAAATAGTCCTGCAGCTACACAGATTTCTCTTAATAACATTTAATATAAGGGGGCAAAAGGGGGCAACCACTGAGATCTGAGCTCAGCAGTGTGTGTTGGAGTACAGCCAGGAGGGTATATCAACATTATTAAAATGGATCTCACGTACAGACTTCTTTCAGAAGCATCTATAAAAGAATGCATGTTAGGTTAGGACAAACTGCTGCTGAGTACTGGGAAGGGGGTGGCATCAGTAAACACAGCATTCCCAAAGCTGACTGAGCATTGACCCAGGTTGGTTCCAGGTCAAGAACGAAGGATCATGGACTTGTCTCTTGACTTCCTCTGGAACTCTTCACAAAAGTCAGCTCAGTAATGCCTATCTAAATTCTCTCAGCACATTTTCTGTTCTTCCAGCAGGCTCTTCTTTGCATACTCTAGACATACATCCCACAAAAGCCAGGAGACCTTTACAAGGTGAAATTTGAAGTCATAGGAAAGATTAAAATGATAAATGATCATCTACTAATGCACAGGTGGGGAAAATGCAGCCCATTGTCTCCAACTTCCAAAAGTAAAGACAATGCCTCCTATCATTCCAGGGTATGGGAAACCATCACAGCCTGAGCTTTGTGAGTGCAGCTTTTTTCCACATGAAGCAGAGTGTTTGAGGACCGGGACATCTGTAGGGATACCAAGGTGCTTGTTTATAAAGCTATTGTCCTCCCAACCCTGCTCTATGCCTGTGAGACGTGGACTGTCTACAGACGTCACATGCAACTCCTGGAACGATTCCATCAGCGCTGCCTCCGGAAAATCCTGCAAATCTCTTGGAAAGACAAGCGGACAAATGTCAGCGTGCTGGAAGAAGCAAAGACCACCAGCATTGAAGCGATGGTCCTCTGCCATCAACTCCGCTGGACCTGCCACGTTGTCCGGATGCCCGACTACCATCTCCCAAAGCAGTTGCTCTACTCCGAACTCAAGAATGGAAAACGGAATGTTGTGGGCAGGAAAAGAGATTTAAAGGTGGGCTCAAAGCCAACCTTAAGAACTCTGGCAAAGACACTGAGAACTGGGAAGCCCTGGCCCTTGAGCGCTCCAGCTGGAGGTCAGCTGTGACCAGCAGTGCTGTAGAATTTGAAGAGGCATGAATGGAGAGAAAAACAGAGAAAAAAAGAGAAAAACACGCTAAGAGGAAGGCGCATCAAGCCAACCTCAACCGGGACCGCCTTCCACCTGGAAACCAATACCCTCACTGCGGGAGAAGATGCAGATCAAAAATAGGGCTCCACAGTCATCTACGGACCCACCGCCAGTACACTGATCCTGGAAGACAATGAGGGATCGCCTAAGAGAAGATGAGGACATTATCCCTTCTAAGTTAGAATACTGGCACCTCAGAAGAAACTTTTCTTCAGTCCTTAGTTTTCTAGTAATGTAGTAATTTAAGACTTCAACTGAGCATTTAGAAATACAGGAAACATTACCAAGAATATGCTAACACAGCACATGTAAGAGTCGGGACAAGAATGATTTAAGCTCTTTCTCTCTCTGCAGTGTTAGAAACTTAGGAAGGAAAATCTCATTTGGCAGGTGCAGAATTTTTATGTGGGGGTGCAGAGCCCTATTTTATCCTGTCTGTGTCTATACCCATTGTGCTAATCCATCATAATCTAGTAACTGAACATTTCCTTTTGCATTCTGATTTTTTCACATGCTAAGTTTGGTCTTGGATTTCATTTTTTAAAAATCAGGGCCCTGCCGATGTCTATTTGTAGGCAAAGGAAATGAAAATGGGATTATTGTGGCATGTACATATGACAATATATGAGATGATCTTCAGATTCACTATGTGTTTATTTTATGGAGGCATTTTAAAATGGAGCTGCCGACAATGTTGTAAAGGTAATGTGATTGACACTGCTCTATATATCAGATCTGAAAAGATTAGATACATTTAACCTACTCACCTTCATCATAGGCCCAGGCAGGAAAGGGAGGAGGCAGTGTAATGTGATTGTCATTTGTATTTCCATCATTGCTTTGCACTGGCCTTGAAGGATCAAGCCATCGAGGAGTATCTACAACTGACAGAGTCTCAGGTGGAGAGGTATCTTTCTGGAGACGTTCAGCCCTTAAGGATTCAATTTCCAAAGTCTGTTGTCTAACTGAGTAGTCCTCCTCAAGATCTGCATTCCAAATTGCTTCAAGCAGTGTCTTGGCATCCTCTGGGAGTTTTGTCTTAAGTACTTCTGTGATTATCTTTCCATTAGCTAAACCATTCACTCCATCTGGTGTTAAACTGGAAGAACTGCAATTTATCCTGAAAGACGCAACTGACCTATGCATTTTTGGGTTCCTAGTCTGAGGCTGATGAATAGGCACTGAGAGAGACTTGTCCACGTAATATATTGCATTTGGATTATGCTGGGACACACTGTGGTGAACACTCGAAGTAAAGGAAATTGGTGCTTCTTTGTTATGGTTGTTCTCTTTGTTTTCGTTGTTACAAAGTCCCTTGCACACCTGTGTATGAGGTTCAGAAACCTTTATTTTGGTGGCATTTTGGTTTTGACAACCACCATGTAAAGGTCTGCCGAGCTGATGTGGGACAGTCTCATTTGAAGCAAGAAGAGTGTTCATTAGTGATTTACTTTCCTGGCATTTCAAACAAGAAGGGTGGGAAGTATCCACCTCTATTTTCCTGTTCCGTGGTGGAATAACTCGTCTAGCAGTGATAGTGATGGAAGCAAAACCCTTCTTCTGGTTATGATACCGTTTTGCCTCTTTGCTATCAATCTCTGTTCCAAGCACATTGTCGTCGGAGGAGATCTGAATTCCTAATCTTCTGGGAAGCAATATGAATGCTCTGTTAATGTTGACTGAGCTATGATTAGCCACAGATTGATTCACATGATAAGCACCCGACTGGGTGATTACAGAATGCCTAGTGAAGATGGTCTTGTTTTCTTTGGAGTTATTCTCATTAATAATCTGCGAAATGACTACAGACGAAATCATTTTTGCATCTTTTGATGGAAGAGGGTCCTGCAAAGAAAAAGATTCAAATAATGAAAGTATCCGAAAAGAGTAAACACATGGGGAAAATATACTCGAAAGGAGTTTGTGATAACATCAAATACTTCTTGCAAGGCTTCTTGTTATACTTCTTGTTTTACCTTAAATCATACCTCAGAATTACCTGCAAACACAAAAAAAGGGGAAAATGACCAATTCCATGCTCAAATTATAGCTTCCTGGAGCTATTTGTCTGAATGATTAATTGATTTGCTCTGTTGGATGTGTGGCCACATGTTTGTTTAACAATATATGTGCCAATAGTAACTGTCAATTTCAGATTATAACCTACACCACACTGTGCTTTCATGCCAACCTGCTGAAATATTAAAGTGCCTTGGGCACTTACAGCCTCCAAGTGTACTGCAAAATGAATTACGTAGGTGGGTTGTGATTTTATATGGAGTGATTCTGTAGGAGTTGGGTCAGTGCTGCTTCACAAAAGCATCAGCGATGACTTGTGGAGGAGGATGAGAATTTTCCCACTCGGCCACCCACATCATGCATATATTACTATAGTTGCTTAGGATCCTATTTACTGCATTAACTCCTTGTTGTTTAACATTTCTTTACTATACAAAACATTAATAGCAAGGAGGATTTATACTCAGTATGTGCTGTATTTCATGCACCAGACAAGGACAATCACAAAGTCTCTTGACAGAATTTCCTTGAAACAATGCCGCTACCCTTGGATTTATTTTCTACGTACAGTTAAAATAATACACCACCAACTGCACAAATTCTCTAGCAGTGGAAAACAATGAGATCAATTGGATGTAAGCAGGAGAAAATGTATTCAGGAGTGATTTCATCTCTGTTTTCATATTCCTCCTTTCTATCCCATTCTACAGTTCCATTTCAGCTGAAAAGCTGCATATATCAAAACCAGCAGCAGCAAGAAAACAAAGTGTGCAGCAAGATTTTTGCCATCATTTTGTATTGCCTTTCTAATGCTATGCAGGTTCCTTGTGCAGCCCACACAATAGAGTAATACTTTCTTATCTGAAAACCAAGAAATATATTCCTACATTACTATGGCCGTGTTTGGGAAGCAAAAGCAGTAAATGAAGAAAGAAAGGTGGTTTCTGGAATTTATTTAGGTGAGGGATGGCAACTCTCAAGGCTTAGGAGGCCTCAATCCTTCCCAACCCCCAAAAGGCTTTCCAACACCCATATTTTTGACCCTCACGGCCCTTCCAGACAGGCCCTATATCCCAGGATCTGATCTCAGGTTTTCTGCTTTAAACTGGATTATATATGTCTGTATTGTCAGATAATCTGGGACAAACAGAAAACTTCAAATCAAATACTGGGATATAGGGCCTGTATGGAAGGGGTCTCAATCTGGTCATGTCTTCTTTTTGATAAAGCTATTCCTGAATCTAAAATGGCACAGAGGGTTAAAATTTGGCAAAATTCCCCACATGCCCTGCAGAGAGTTTTAGGGGGCATTTTTTAAAAAGGGATGTTGGAGTCCCCATGAGGCCACATTTGAGCCATGGGCACCTCGAATTTGGGCTGATGGCACTCTGTTTATTTCAATGAGCTTCTTTAATATTTGGAATATATTAGTTTATCATACAACACTGTTGTATTTGTATCCCAGTTGCCACTTTTGGTTGTTCCACGCTATCTTCCTTTCTGATTATCCTGACATGCAGAAATTTTAGCACAGACATGAGCAAACTTTTTTGCCTTGGGGTCACATTGGGGGCTCAGCCAAGAGTGCTGGGCTGGAAGCGAGGGCAGCCAAGTATGTGCTGGGTGGGATGGGCCCAGGAGATGGAAGGCCTGGGAAAGGACAGGGCAGGGAGGGAGTGGGCAGTGTCCGGGTCATCCTCAGGTTGTCCTCCTGGCATAAGGATGGGGCTACTCACCCCATCCTTATGTCAAGAGAAAAACAAGACATGTGGTGACTGCTCTGATCCTCCTCCCGATCTTTGGGCTGTCTTCTTGGCAATGTGCTGGAAGGGGGTGAGACGGCCGAGAGTGCTCTGAAGGGCTCTCAGCTGCCGTGTGCCTTCCTCAGGCCATCCTCTTTGCATAAGGATGGAGTTGCTCACACCATCCTTATGCCGGGAAGAAGGCAAGACATGCAGTGACTAAGATTGCTCCAGAGGGCTCTCAGCTACTGTGTGTCTTCCTCCCACATCCTTTCTTCATAAGAATGCAATGAACCACTGCATCCTGATGCCAAAAGGACAGGGAAAATGAGGAGGGGATGAGGTAAGCACCCAGGGGGCTGCATCCGGCCTGCGGGCCTGAGTTTATCCATTCATGTTTTAGCATCTAAAACCTAAGATTTTAAATTGGGTGACTTAAAATGTTTGCATATAACACTTTTTAGAGGCTTAGGAATAGAGAATAAATCCTGAATAGCAAACCTACTTAATGTGAATTCTTCCCCCATTCACTATGCTTATCTGAAATAAGAAATTTTGAATCAATTATTCAATTTCAAATTTTATCTAAAGTCAGGATGGCTTGCATTCTCTTTGTATCTGTTCTAAGTTGTAGTGGGCTTCAGAGCAGAGAATTGAAAGTATTTGAAGAATGGATGGAAAAAATATGTTTCCTGAAAGTCCAAGAACTTCAGCCAGGTGAACAACTTTTATCTTGTACAAATAAGTGCATTTTAAAACAGAAAACACAGCACTTTTTATGTAGAAAGCCAATTGTATGTTCCTCCTCTTCACACAAAACTCAAAAACATGTAGCTTTTGGGAGGGGGGGGGGCTCAACTTTACTTAGTTGCAGCTGTAGGCAAGAGTTGATTCAAACATGGGTTTGCATTTGGCATTAACCAACCTGCTGTTGGTCATTGGGCCCACAGAGCCCCTTGCAAAATAAATCCTGAATTGTGAATAATTCTAAAAAACTGCAGTATTATAAGACTATCTTGCAGTGATGAGAAAAAATGATAAAATTATTCATTTTGCCTATAAACATGAAATTTATGAAAATATTTACATCTATATTTCAAATTCTGTCAGCAAGAAAAGCTTCCCAAAAGGATACATCAGCCCAATAAATGATTGTCTTTTGGAATATGCAAGCACAGGTGAACATTCAGAGTGATCTAGGATCCACTCTTAGCGGACAGTGGATGGTAGTGAAACCCAACACTACCTTGCATAAACCTATCACAGTATGAATAAGGATTATGAGCAAGGATTAAGGATGAATGGAATATGCACTTTATATGTTTTAATTTCTTATTATTCTATGTATTTTGTTGCTTAACTGTTTTAATTGTTTAGTTTATGGTATAGAATTTATGTTTTAATGCGGCATTTAATTTTGCCAGAGTTGTAAGCCGCCTTGAGTCCTCCTACGGAGGTGTACCTTAGAGCATGCCAGAGATGATATATCCCCAAACTAAGGCCCACGGGCCGAATGCAGCCTGCCAAAGTCATTTACCTGCCCCCTACCCTAAACTTAGGGCCGCCCGACAACCTCGAATGCACATAACAACAATTCTAATTAATTTCACTATCTCATCAGCCAAAAGCAGGCCCATACTTTCCATTGAAATACTGGAAAGTTTATGTTGGTTAAAATTGTTCTGCATTCTAAATATTGCATTGTTATTTCATATCTTTTTTGCACTGCAAATAAGATATGTGCTGGGTGCATAAAAATTCATTCATTTATTTTTCCTAACTATAGTTGTAGTTCACAAAGTCTGAGGGACCATGAACAGACCCTCTACTTGAAAAGTTTGAGAACCCCTGTGTTAATGTTTGGCAATATTTGCATAAATTTTAAGAAGTACAAGATGTGCAGTATCCCAATCTGCAGCATGGGCAGGAAGAGGTTAACCCATGCCCATTTACAGAATTTATTTTTTAAAAATCAATAGAACTGGGAATTTATTATGACCACAAATAGAAGTTTACCTTCCAGCCAAAGCAGCAGCTCCAAGAGGGATGAATATCATTGGAGCTATGGAATGGGGAGGACAAGTTGACCCCTCATATTCATGCACCCCAGAGTGGGTTCTTAGGAAACTCTGGCCCCAGACCTCTGACCAATGCACAGAGAGCCTGGCAGGCAAGTCAATGTAGAAATAATCCCATCAAGGTAAAATTACTGAAAACTATTTGTTTCTCAGTTTTGTCCAATGCCAAATGCAATAAATAGAATTGCTTACAGAACAAACACTGCAATTCTGTATCACTGAGTGTCAAATATAGGTGTTAAAATGTTGAACATTTGATCATTCATGATTAGCTGAAATGTCATCAACATCAACATTCACAAAGGAGTTATTTTTCAAAGAAAATGAATCTCACTCCTACATAAAAGTAGGCTCTGAAAAAAACTGGCAACATCCCCCATTTCCAGCTGCCCTTTTCCATTTCTTTCTCTCTGTGTGTCTAACATAATCTACAAAAAAGTGACACTATGGAAACCCCACTGAAATGAATGGGGACATCAAAACGCATTTTGACCAGTCTTGTGTTAAAGATTCCTCCAGTGTGTTATCCCTGTGGTTAAAATTCAGGCAAATGCAGATGGATCTGCATATATCCAGTGTGCTTTCACTCCTTACCATTTTCACATTGCAAGGTATTTTTCAAACTCTCTGCATTAGAATAAAAAAATCAGCGTGTTATGCAGTATAAAAGAGTGATGCAGCACAGTGATGAAGAGACAACTAAAACCAGTGAGATGTGCATATAACCTTGCACATGAATAAAGGGAACAGTTCATAAGCAATTGTGTGTTGCTGCTGCTATTGTTATGCATTATTTATAGATCTGTAGCAATGAATGAGGAATCCTACACAAGGTTAACAAAAAACAAAGGCAACAATACAGAGCCACTTACGAGTACGTATGCTTCTAATCCAGGAGATTATTGCAAACATTTTTCACAATAACAAAGTCAACTCACAAAGGCATAGGGGGCAGTTTGTTCAACACTGATTGTCTAACTGTGAAAATAGAACTAGTAAGGTTGTTTACCTTGTGTTAAGCAATGGTAAATAAGTGTTTACTATTTCTGAACTGCGTCCCATTTCTTCATAGATGTTATCCAGAAAGCTTTACAAGTGGTGCTTAATGCGAGGCTGACAACCATTCAAGATCATTGTAAGGATGTATATCCATAAAAACACTCTGAAGAATAACCTTGCATGCCAATAGTATCCTCATGTCTTGGAAATAGCAACCTTCTTCAAGTTTCCGCTAGTTATTTGTTATGTAAACAATTCAGATTGCTTACTATATTGTATATGTATGTATTGGTATGTAGTTTTCTTTAACTCTATATTGTGAGAAGGGCTGCAGACCATGTGATCAGATCTGGGACTATTTAGGACTCAGACTCCATTTTAGAAACAGTATGCTTTCAGAAGACTGTAGAAACTGGGTGCTTTAGAGAACAGACATGCTATAGACTGTCAGAACAGAGAAATGTTTTAGACTTTGGACTGTTGATTATGAGAAGGATGCCCTATGTTATCTGCCCAGAGAAACTACTTCAAATTCTATCTATATCTGGGCTGATAAGCAATGTATGCTGAATACATGAAGTTTGTGAGTAAACCAACTATGTTACTTTTAAAGAAATCTACTTATTTTTGTCTCTTGAGAGCATGACATAAACCAAGATGTTTTAAGGAAGATTAGATGTGTTTTGGGCAACTGAAAGAACACTTCTGAAACTCCACTATATATGTGTGTGTGCTTTTGTGCATTGGCATATCTTTCCCCCTAACAGTTCAAAGAGATATCTAAGTATATCAGTTTAACAGCTGATAAACCTAATTGCCTTGCATGAATACTAGTGGATATTTACCACTAAGGAGAAGGTTGACTCAAGTGAGTTTTTAACTCTTCTCAGGAAAATTCCTAATGTTCCCAAAATGGTAGTGAATGCCGTTTTCAAAAAAGGTTATGAAGATTTCCATTTCCCAAAAGGTTATGGCATCATTTCCCCAAAAGGTTATGATTTCTAACAAGGTCATGCATTTCCAAAGATCATAATTTCTCCAAAATCGTGACAGCTAAGGAAGTTTGGAGATCATAAGACAGAATCACTGACATTAAGTGATGACCAAAGAATGACTGGCTACATTTATAGCCAGAAATTGCAAGATGGCAACAATTACAAAAAAAAAACTGAAGAAAGCTGGAGTTTATACTCTTCATGCAGAGCCATGGATTTTACACCTGAAAAGACTTTCTGTACCATGTCTAATGGCACCATGCGTGGCTCCACAATTGCACAAATGATGCTGTACATCAGATTCCTTACAGTTGCCACAGGATTGGTTCTTTAAATGTTACATGAGGACAGGCCTTGGGAAATGCTTTTCTTTTGCCACTTTTTGAGGCTGAGGGACAGCAATTGCTTTTGTGCAACACAGTAAGCCCAAAGGCTATGTTTTCCAAAAGATGACTGATACGCTGCAAAAAGCCTGCTAAGCCTCTTGACTTGTTACATTGGACTGGTGATGTTTGTCAAGAATGTGTTATTCCTTCCAGCTTGCATGGTGCTTTCTCTTTCTCAGGAACGTGAAAGGTATATGAATTAATAAATATGCTGCCAACAGAATTGTAACATCTCAGCCACCACTTTACTTTTCTGCTGAGTAAGTGAACCCCAACTAAACGCAAAGCAAACAGCACCATGTTGCATACAGATAAATAATCATTTAAGTATTGAAGTATTAAATTTAAGTACATGGCATTGACTAATGTGGAAGCTCAATGCTTCCTTTTTGTTTGTTTTACCTTTGTCCAGTTTGACTCTTTCTTTGCTGCTTTGTTACACTGAGCAATTGTGCTTGCTTTCCAAGCATTGGCTTTGTACAGATTTTCTATTTTTCCTAAACAAAAAAAGATAAGAAGTTACTTGAAATCACACAAGAATACAGGTAAACGAAGTTCAATTCTATGCAGTGGAAATGAATTATGACTAACAGATATCATCTGGGAGGCATTTTTCTGAGACATGACATTGCTTTGCTCACATGTGACGTAGATAAAATCCCACAAGGAAGCTCTTTCTCTTGTTTCTAGACCTTGGATCATGAACATTGTTCTTCTTTAAGGAAGGGACTTGTTTTGGGTTCTGTATGTATGCAACTAGTACCTTTTAAAACAACAGAAATGCATATATTGTATTGATAGAGCTTCATCTAAGCTATTTAGGGATGTTACATCTGGTTCATCTAGCTCTGTGTTATCTACTTAGACTGGCAAGTTTTCTGCAATGTCTCATAAACAGAGACAGTGTCTATGGGGCTGGATCTACATTGCCCTATATCCCAGATTCTGATCCCAGTTTATCTGCTTTGTACTGGAGTATATGAGTCTACACTGCCAAATAATCTGGGATAATCATATAATCTGGGATCAGATCATGCAATATAGAGCACTGTGGATCCAGCCTTAGGTATTGGGCCTTAGGCTGGATTTACACTGCCATATAATCCAGTTTCTGAATCCAGATAATCTACTTTGAACTGGATTATCAGTCTACACTGCCATATAATCCAGTTCAAAGCGGACATTATTTTTTTTATTTAAAACATTTATATTCCACCCTTCTCACCCTGCAGGAGACTCAGGGCAGAGCACAACATATATACAGCAAACATTCAATGTTGGGACATAAAACCATAAATATATACAAACATTAAAATCACTTATATCCTCTATAAAATCAGTTGCTTTAAAACTATCTCAGGACACCATCCTATTATTGCCTCATTGCACTGCCCCAAAGGCTTGGTCCCACATCCAGGTCTTCACCATCTAAAGGACAAGAGGGAAGGGGCTCATCTAATCTCGCCAGGAAGGGACTTCCATAACCAGGGGGCAATCACTGAGAAGGCCCTGTCTCTCATCCCTGCCAAATGTGCCTGTGATGGTGGCAGGACCAAGAGCAGGGCCTCCCCAGAAGATCTTAGTCTTCACAGTGGTTCATAAAGGGAGATGCATTCGGACAGGTAAACTGGGCCGTTTAGGGCTTTATAAGAAATAGAATAAAATATTTAGGCATTACTATTACAAAAGAAATAACCAAGTTAAAAGTGGCCAACTATGGGGCAATATGGAAAAAATTCAGGAAAAAATAAAAGCCTGGAGGGATAAGCAATTAAGTATCCCACGGAAAATACAAGCTCTGAAAATGTGCATAATTCCCAAACTACTTTATCTTTTCCAAACTTTATCAATAAAAATAGAATATAAACAATTAAAAGAATGGGACAACATTTTGAGAGAATGGATATATGGGAAAAAGAGAAACAGAATAATGAAAAAGATTCAATATACCCCAAAGAGAATTCTTGGATGGGGGTTTCCAAATCTACAATGTTATTATGAGGCTTTCCAATTAAGAGCACTACTAGAAATAAGTTTAAAGGGAGAAGATAAATGGATAAAAGTAGAGAATGAAATAAATCTAGGATGGGGAAAATACGGGTTATACACCAGAGATATTAACAAAATAAAGGAAAATCTAACAGGGCCGAGAAAGGTAGCATATGACTGTTGGCAAAAATGGCAAAAACTATGGGCATATAAAATATCAGGAAAGACCCCTATTAGGAGCATGGGAATCCCCGAAAGTTTAGCAAATAACTTAGAAGAAAAGGGATTAAGGCGGGTACAAGATATGTGGAAACAAGATGGAGAGATAATTAATTGGCCAGAGTTTTTGGAAAAGGGGGGGAAAGAAAATTGGTTAAAATTAAGAGGGATTTGGGAAAAAGTAAAAAAAGAGGGTGCAAAACCCACTGAAGAACTAAAGGTAGATAAATTGCTAAATGCAAGAGAAAAGACAAGTAAAGGAACAGTGGCAAAAATATATAATTTAATGGTAGAAGATAAAGAGTTTATGATTAGAGCAATAAGTAATAAATGGAATGGAGTTAAATCATTACAGACAAGAGAAATAGAGGAAATAATTAGGAACATGAATAAAATAAAAATAGAAAAATATAATGAATTAGAAAAAAAGATGATATTAAGATGGTATAGAACTCCTGAACAATTGGCTTATATGTTAAAAGAAAGAATTCGAAGTGTTGGCATTGTAATAAAGAAAAAGGTACTTATTCACACATGTGGTGGGAGTGTTCTGAAATAAAAAAAATTCTGGCAAATCATACAAGTAAAAATTCAGGAGATATTCCAGATAAGAATTCAAATTAATAATGATTTGCTACTTTGGGGAGTGTTGGATCATCCGAGTATAATAATTAATTGCCAGGAGTTATTTAAGGTAACAATAAGAGCAGCCCATGCAGTGATTGCCAGAGGATGGAAAGACAAATCGAAATGGACGTTAACTAATTGGAATGATTATATGTACGACCAAGTGCTGTTAGACATTACGGGAATTATGACCAAGCAAACACCAAGAATGGACAAAGAAAAGATCATTACAAATAGATGGAAGGTCTACTTCAACTGGGTGAAAAATGGAGGAGCCAACGATCACATCAAAGAAAAAACACAAAGACTCTACCAGTGGCTGGATCTGCAAGATTAGCTAGAAATATACTGTGGTTGAAGAGGGAGGGAGGGTGGGAGGGAGGGAGAGGGAGGGAAGGTGGAGATAAGGTAATATACACCAGTGTAAATTAGTATAATATCTTTAATATATGTTGAATTATTCAGGTTTTATATGTGTAACACTTGGAATTTGGCCTACTGATCTGTGTGTATAATATAATAAAAATATCTTTAAAAAAATATAGGCCAAAGCCAGCACTTTGAATTGTGCCCAGTAGCAAACAGGCAGCCAGTGGAGCTGATGTAACATGGGAGTTGTGTGCTCCCTTGTATGCCATCCCAGTTATTAACCTGGCTGCCTCTTGTTGGACTATTTAAGCTTCCGATCCAACTTCAAAGGCAACTCCCACGCAGAGTGCATTGCAGTAGTCTATCCTGGATGTAACAAGAGCATGGACCACTGTGGCCAAGTCTGACTTCCCAAGGTACATTAATTAAGTAAACCTGCAGCCAGGTCCAGCTAAGGACATTTTCTGCTTGAGATCAAGGGCAAGATTTCACTCCCTCTATTATCCATGTAAAAACCTGGCCAGAATACCATCTGAAATATATTATCAATGTGATTAGCATATTATAGCACAACTAGCAATAGTGTGGGGGTTTAGGTGATACAGCTGCATGGAACAAGTAGCTCTATCCTCTAATAAAGGGAAGTGTTCAGGAAAAAGGTTAAGCAATCTCCCCGCCCCCGCCACCCCCCCCCCATATCTGCTGTCAGAAGTGGACCCCCCTTGAGGGGGCCAGCCTTGCCTGAAACAAACAAACTATGCTACATTTTTGTTCCCCATTGTTAAAGATGTAGATTACTTGGAAAATCTGATCAGTCTCTGAAATATTCTCCATGTTTATTAACAATCTAGAATCCAAGAGACAGGATTTATTCCTCTCTTACTGTAGAATCCAAGAGAGAAGATTTATTTCTAGTCTGTCAGGTGTATAGAAGACTTTGGATAACTTATAGATAGCAGAAGAGGGGAGGCTCACCTTTATAGATTTCATGGATCATATTTCACTAAAAATGAAAACATCACACATGACAAATATATTGTATACTCAAAAGCCGCTGAACTGTCACAACTAAAGTTCCTGGATAGCTCCAAATAGATAATGTTTTCAACCTTTTGCTACTCTGGCAAAAGTATATCAGAAACATCGAATGCTAAGTAGAATGTTTACTCAACATGTTACCATGACAGTTGTGCTAAGATTCTTCCATCAGAACTTGTACGATAATAGTGATTCCTTTAATATGATTCTGATGTCTTGGGAAATGTCTGAACCAGACAGTCAATCCACAAAGCTAGAAAGTCAACCTAAAACTCAATTGAAATCAAGGGCAATTCTCCTTCCATATGGCAACAATTAGTTAGTTAATATGCTAGATCAATCAATTTTGAAAAAGTCTCCTAGTTAACTGAGGCAGCCAGTTACAATCCTATGAACAATCGGCGTAACCATATTGTGTGTGTATGTGCCTTCAAGTTGCCTTTCTACTATGAATTTCCTAGGGTTTTCTTAGGCAAGGAATACTTAGAGGTGGCTATCCTAGTTTCTTCCTCTGAAATATAGCCTGCAGTGTTCACTGGCGATGTTCCATCGAAATACTAACCATAGAATCACAGAGCTGGAAGAGACCACAAGGGCCATCTAGTGCAAACCCCTACCATGCAAGAATAGCAACCCGGACAGATGTCCCTTCAGCCTCCAAAAAACCCTAAAACCCTCCAAAAAAAACCCTCCAAAAAAGAATACTCCACCATGCTTCGAGGCATTTTCCACTGCTGATCAGCTCTTACTGTCAGAAAGTTCTTCCTAATGTTTAGGAATCTTTTTCCTACAATTTGAATCCATTGCTATGGGTTCGAGTCTCCAGAGAAGCAGAAAACAAGCTTGCTCCTTCCTCAATGTGACATCCTTCCAAATATTTAAACCTGGCTATCATGTCCCTTCTTAGCCTTTTTTTTCCAAGCTAAACATACCCAGCTCACACATACCCATTCCTTGTAGGGATTGGTTTCCAAACGTTTGATCATTTTGACCACTCTTCTCTGGACATGTTCTACCTTTTTTATGTCCTTCTGGAATTGTGGTGCCCAAAACTGGACACAGTTTTTAGGTGAGGTCTGACCAAAGCAGAATAAAATGGGACTTTGACTTCCCTTGATCTAGACCAGTGGTTCTCAACCTGTGGGTCCCCAGATGTTTTGGACTTCAACTCCCAGAAATCCTAACAGCTGGTAAACTGGCTGGGATTTCTGGGTATTGTAGCCCAAAACACCTGGGGACCCACAGGTTGAGAACC